CACCTAACAAGGTACAAACCCACGTTCTATTTGGTTTAGGCCCACCACAGTCCCAACTCTGCCCTCTCAAATTTGATTTCTGACTTTTTCTTTCATTCATCTGTTTGTCAGAACACAAAATCCTCTTGACACTTTTCAGCACCAACCCTTCCTGTTGCTTCTCTAGCAGCTGTCGCTGTCAGTCTTTTTCTCATTTAACCCCTTCTCGCCTTTAATCTGGGCTTCCTGGACTTCCCAAGTGGTGCTGGTGGAAAAAATCTGCCTGCCAATGCAGAAGATGTAAGAGACAGGCGTTTGATCCCTGGATTGGGAAGAGCCCCTGGAGTTGTTGTTCAGTCACTAAGTTGTGTCTGACTCTTTGTGACCCCGTGGACTGCAACATGCCAGGCTACCCTCTCCTTCACTATCTCCTGGAGTTTGCTCTATTTCATGTCCATTGAGTCAGTGATGCTATCTAACCATCTCATCCTCTGCCACCCCTTTATCCTTTTGCCTTCAATCTTTCCCAGCATCAGGGTCTTTTCCAATAAGTTGGCTCTTCCAATCAGGTGGCCAAAGTATTGAAGCTTCAGCTTCAGCATCAGTCCTTCTAATGAATACTGGAGTAGGAAATGGCAACCCACACCAGTACTCTTGCCTGGAAAACCCCACGGACAGAAGACTCTGGCAGGCTACAGTCCATGGAGTTGCAAAGAGTCAGACACCACTTAGCAACTGAGCACACATATCCTTACTTCTATCGGTTCTTACTACCTTACTCTGACACCAAGCTCTTGGTTCTCTCTTTCTGATCATTCCTTTTCAGGCTTTTTTCATGTCCCGTAAGTGCTCCCCGGGGCTCAAATTTTGACTCTCTTTTTTTTTTTCCTCTCTTTTCTTACTTAAAGCTCACAATGGGAAACTGTCCAGGGATTCTTACAACTGTGAAATCCCTTATTTTAACTGGGCTCACTAGCTCTCATATATTATTCTGACTTGGTTGAATAAAACCCACAAGGGTAAAGAAGAAAAACTTCGTTAGGGAAACTTCAGTTACCAAATCTGCTCAGGAGGCAGGTAAGAAGTCTCAACTGAAACTTCTCTTTTTGTTGCTGTTTCTCTCAGGAGTACAGGCCTTAAAAAGATTAGCACCTCTGAGCTTGTTTCCTAGGCTATCCTCTAAACTATCGGAATCCATTTTTAGACAGGAAGTTGCAAGCAGGCTCAACTACACTATCCCCAGCACCAGTCTGGACCTGGTAGTGAGCCGATTTGGGGCTTGTTTCTTGCGTGATGATTGTGCCTGAGTTGAGGGATTGAGGGTGGGAGTAGAAGGGGACGACAGAGGATGAGACGGTTGGATGGCATCACCGATTCAATGGTTGTGAGTTTGAGTAAACTTCGGGAGCTGGTGATGGACAGGGAGGCCTGGCGTGCTGCGGTTCATGGGGTCGCAAAAAGTCGGACACGACTGAGCGACTGAACTGAGCAGGCAGCCAAAGTGCCATGGTGCGGCCCACTCGGGCAGAAGAGCAGGAAACGGAGCCACCGTTGGCTCTGCAGAGAGGTGCTGCGTTCAGAATAACTCCTCCCATAGCTGCAGACAAGCGCCACAAGCTTAGGGCGTTTCCTCCCAGTTTGACCCAGGTGCTCCCAGAACGAAAACAATCTAGGGCGCAGCCTCAACCAAAGCAGGTCTCGGGGCGGGGACTACTTGGCCGCGACAACTGCGTGGTGGAGGGCGGGGCTAGCCCTAAAGACACGTGGGACCCGCCCCTTAGGGGTGGGGCGGGAGCGCGCGAGCTCTGTCACGCAGGCGCGTTCGCCTGGTGTGGGCGGTGCTAGAGGCTGCGGGGGGTTGTAGGAAGACGGCGCTGCCGCCATTTTGTGGGGTGTTTGTCGCAGCTACTGGAGAGAGAAGACGGCAGTTTGCCGACAATTCTCGGCCAAAGGGCCTTTTGTTTTTGCGGAGGTAAGGCTTCGGTCAGTGTGTTCTGGGCCGGGCGGCTTCCCAGTTTTGTAAGTCTCGAAGCCAGGTGTGGGAAAAACGACGGGATTCGGGGCCTCGGTGACCGGGATGCGTTTGGGACACAGCTCTGCTCGTGACATTTAAAAACCTAAAGTTGCCCAGGCGTCATAGTAGATTTAAAATATAAGGGATAAAAGGCCTCGGCTCTGCCGCTAGCTTTTTTCAGAGAACCCAGGCCTCACGCATCATGGCTATTGAGGCCGTGCTTCGTCCGCCGGTCAGATTGAGGACCTGTCTGGAGCCCTTCTAGAACCGCCTGGAGCAAGTGTACTCCTTGGTCAAGCCTTCCCCAGGGTGCCTGGCCTCAGCTGTTTGTAGCATTCGGGGATTTTCCGGGGTCAAATCTCTTTGAGTGCGCCAAAGGCCCTGGCCAGGTGCCCTGGCTGATAGGCTGGGGCTGTGGACTGGGCGTCCGAGGAACTGCAAGTCTGCGAGTCCAGGTGGTGGGATTTAGCTCGTGCTTATGAGGTTTAAATATGGAGAGACTCATCCTTTGTGCAAACTGTTTTTAAAAGTGGAGCGTGTCGTTATTGCAGCAGATCTGCATTTCTGATGCTTTTGAATCACACTGTCCTTGATTACTGAAACAACCGCGGTATGCTTATCCTATCCTTAGGAAACAACACTCCAGACTGACCAGGTCAATCTCCTGGTCTCATTTGATAGATATCTTTGCTGGTGCTCCATACATAAACCTTCAGGCTTCTTGTTATCAGGTACAGCCCTCTTGGAGCCATCTAATCATAACTTTAACCTTTATAGGTATTTTAAAGCCATATATAGATATAAAATTATTGGGTAAAATAGAGTGTTAAAAGGCAGTAGAGAATCAGGTTTCCAAGACGGATATAAGCATATCTGATGTTTTTTGTATCTGGTGTTTTTATTGGAAGCTGTCTGATGATTCTAACATGTAGAATTCTTTATTAATTATAGAGGTAATGCAATAATTCTAGGGGGTGGGTTTTTTTTTTTGTTTGTGTGTGTGTATGTGAAGGAAGTTAATTTGTGTACCCTGGGTCTGTGATTCTTTTCTTGGCCTCCTGAGAAAATATTTCTAAACAGTAGTGAAGGAGGGCTTCCTAACAGATGAATTTTAAAAAGTAGTGAACTTGGCTAGAGAAATAAAAAACTTTGGCTCTCCCAAGACTCTTATTTTAATATTTGCACATTGATAACTGGTTATATAAGAATTATGTTTTGTTCACAGGTGAGCTAGTTATGGGTGGCTGACAGTAGAAGGAAAAAAGCTGAAGCAGACATGTTTTGCAAAAACTTATGTATTAGTCATAATAATAAGCATCAGTCATTAGATGGGATTTTGCTTGGTATGATTTAAGAATGCTTAACTAAGCAATTTTAAAGTTACTATGTGATTAAAATACAATTGGGGTAATCAAAAGGGTCAGAAGAATTCCACTAGAAATACAGTTCTTTTTACGGCTTTTCTGATGGTCATTTTTGCTCCTTAATTTGTACTTTGGTTTATTTCAGTTTCCCATAATCAAATGACCTATGAATATGTCATAGGTCATATTCGAATGCTCACTTACCAATTTCCAGTGAAAACCTTGACTAGAGTTTGAGTTTTTGTTTGACTTAACCAGTGCCTTGTCTTCCTTTTTTAAAGCATGCTAAAAGAGAAGCTACCTATGAGAAGTATGTTTGGTGGGCATAGCGTTAGAATCAGCAAGAGAAGTGAGTTAAAAGATCTGGATATTAGTGGCTTCAGGCTCTGATGGCATGTTACTTATATTTTCTTAGGGAATACCTCCCAGGAGAAGCCTCATTTCAAAATCTTTTTTAAACCATTTGAAATCATGTAGGTTTTGTTACTTGAATTCACTTCTTGTTACTGAGCCATCTGGTCAAACTGAAGGAGGTTAACTCAGCTGCCTTTGCTCCAGTTTACCTTTTTTTCAGCTCCTTGCTGGGTTGTGAAACTCAGGCTTCAACTGATTTTGGACACCTGTTAAAAACGAAGCTGCTTTGTGAAAGAGCTAAGATGTGGAGAGGCAGATAGGGATGACTTGTTAGAACACAGATCCTGAAAAACCTAATGAAGTTTGTAGGTTGCTGTCTGATTTTGGTGTGACCATATTCATCCTCATAGGTTCATTTTCTTAGTCACGCCAGATCTACAGCAGATAACATTTAATTTTTAAAAAGCTGCAGGATGATCTGAAAACAAACTTGTGGTTAGAGGAAATGAGTTCATAAAATGACTTTTTATTGCTCTTCAGGTTCTCAGTTGAATTCTGTGTTCTGTTCACACCCTGAGTTCTATTCAAAGCTGAGAGTCATTCTCTCAAGATTTAGAGAATGGAACTCTTGAGTGTTTGAGAAAAAGGATCTTCATTAGTGGTTCTTTACCTTTAAAACAAAGTCATCTCCTATATTAGTATCCCTAAGTATTTCTCTGACTGCAGTTATTTGTGTTACAATGTTTTGCTAAAGGTGCGTGATACTTGGTGATACTTGTTTTAAACTAGCTCACCTTTAAAGTTAACATCAATAACTTACAGTTTGATAATAGCAGTAATTTAAGGGGTTAGTAGTAATTTACCATAGGAAAAAGGTAAGCTTCCCAGATGGCGCAGTGGTAAAGAATCCGCCTGCCAAGACAGGAGACACGAGAAATACTCCAAGCCTGAATCCTGACTCTTTATTTTTAAAATAGCAGTTGGCGAATGTTAGTTGAAGACAAGCACCAAACTGAGAATTTATCCAGAAGAATTGAAAAAGAAAGTATTAAGGTCTCACAGTGTTATCATTTAGTACCAGGATCTGTGTGCCACTTAGAACCTGTCATCTGACATACCAGTGGAATAGTGCCCCCATGCCTTGGGAAACATTACCTGCAAACATTTTAGAACCTGTACGACCCAATGTCTTGGGTGTTTTTGTATTTAATCAATATTAATGTAAAGTACTGTATTTACTAAGCAAGCAATCTGTGATTCCACAACTCCCTTTTTATTTCCATTAACAGATGCGGCATTCCAAAAGAACTCACTGCCCTGATTGGGATAGCAGAGAAAGCTGGGGACATGAAAGCTACAATGGAAGTCACAAACGGAAGAGGAGATCCCACAGCAGTGCGCAGGAGAACAGATACTGTAAACCACATCACCAGTTTAAAGACTCTGATTGGTAAATTACTCTTGAACTAGTACCATTGTAACACAAAGCGTTTAAATGATTTGCCATTAGCTTGTATAGCTTTCATCTGTCAAATTGTTTTTATAAATCCGTCAACAAATACTCATTCAGAAAACATTTCCTGAGTGCCTGTTATATGCTAGACATTACTGGGAGTAGAACAGAGTTCCTGCCCTCATGTATCCATTTGGGACCTGTGGGAGATAGTTGACTGAGTCTTGCTGTCAGTAATGTAGTTGTGTGAAACGAGACACCAAAGTGGTGATAGGACACACGAGTGAAGTGAGTGATTAAAGGACCAGCAGGTGCCTTCAATTTGTATGTGAATACTAGGCAGATGTGTACATTGGGTAGAGTTCCACAAATGAGAGAGAATGAAGGGTGGGGAGAGTTATCCAGATTAATAATAAATAGTGTGCCCTGTGAGAATGATAACATGCTTTGGGGATTAGTTGCTTATGCTCTATTGAAGATAAGACCAGGGAATATATTTGGGGCTTTTCAAAGCTTGGATGTTTTAAGAACCATTCCTTTGCGTAGGCAGTAGCCAGTAATTTAGGGAAGGGCCGCAATAAAAATTCCAAGTGGCATGTGTTCTGTTTTAGTGTATTTTTACCAGTGTAAAATTTGGAGGTAATACATTTATGCAGAATTGGAGGAATTTTGTAAAGTTCCTAAATGATTATAACAAAGCCTAGGTGAGTAGTTTCTTTCATTTTGTCCTCCATTAATTTCCCTTTCTCATTTGTTTTTGTTGGTTCTATGTTTTCTCCTTGTTTTGTGCAGATGTTCCATTGGGACTATTTGCCAGATGCTTTCTAAATTAGCCAGCTGGGGTTACTTTAAAAAACAGTATGTAATTTTTTTCCTTTTCCATGCTAAAACAGACTTGTTCTGCAGAACAGTGAGCTTGTTGGTAATCAGTGCAGACTAATCCTTCTTCACATGCTATTGTATGAAGAGAAAAGAGAATCTCTGCCAGGATTTCAATGACCTGAGCTAAATTAATGTACTATAGAGGATATTTGTATCATATATTAAAATAAATACAAAATACTCTGTAAGGCATAATGTCATAATACTAATTAATCATAAGTTTATTATGCATTGTGTAGGTGAAAAATAACTCGTATGATTGATGAACAGTTCATTTATGTTATAAATGGAGATGCCGGGGATCGAACCCAGGGCCTCATACTTGGAAAACATGTGCTCTACCACTGAGCTACATCCCCAGCCCTTTATTATGCATTGTGTAGGTAAAAAAGAACTCGTTTGATTGATGAACAGTTCATTTATGTTATAATTAACTGTATAAACATGATTGTCCAATAACTGCTAGACTAACAGTTTCTTCTTGGCACCAGAGATGTCTGTTGGTAATTACTCCCTATAATCTGGAGTAGTCTAATAGTCTTTTTAATATTCAAAACTTTACGAGTGTTTTTTAATAAAAATATTGAAAAAATGAAAAATACAGAAGTGTATAAAGGTAATCTTGATAGGATGCTAATCCCCCATTATTTGGATGTAAATTTATTTCTGATTATTTTTAAAAATACCTATGGGTACAAATCTTTGCCTCTGATATTTCTTGGAAATAGATTCTAAGAAGAGGCAGGACAGTTTAGAGTGTGAACTCTTAGAAGACTCTTGCTACATATTCATGTCTTTTTCCAGAAAATTTGTACCAAGTTCTATTCCCTACAAGCTTGTTTCTTCATTCTCTCATCAGTCTTGGTTATTTTGAAATGCCAAGAATAGTGTTTGTTATAATTTGAATTTTTAAATTTCTGTTGAGTTTGTCCTCTGTCATATATTTACTGACCACTTGAGAACATTATTTTTTTTAATTGTAGTTCATTTTGAACATTATTTTGGTATCCTTAGCCTTTTTTTCTATAAAAGTGTATTTCCCTTACTGATTTATAAGCAGTTTTATTGTATATGAGTTATCGTACTTTTTTTCCACATATATTGTGAAGTGTCTTTATTTTCCTGATTTGTAAGTAGCCTGTAAATTGCCCATTTTCTACAGGCTTGATCGGTTAATTCTGCACAGGAAAACTGATGTAGCTGTGAACACTGACTTTGTATCCTTAAATGTCTTCCTGTAACATAGAGCTGTTGTCGTTTAGTCGCTAAATTGTGTCTGCACTCTTCTGACTGCAGCTCTCCAGGCCCCTCTGTCCATGGTATTTCCCAGGCAGGAATACTGGAGGGGTTGCCATTTCCTTCTCCAGGGGATCTTCCCAACTTGGGGATTGAACCTATGTTTCCTGCATTGGCAGAGGGATTCTTTATTGCTGAGCCTCCAGGGAAGTCCCTGTATCCTAAGAGTATCAAGCCTTACACGAGTGGTTCTCAAACTGTAGTGTGACTAGGATCACCTTGGAGGTATGTTTAAAATGCATATTACCAGCTTATTCAGTGAGCTTCACCTGAGACCAGGGATCTTCATTTTTAATAATTCAGTATTTTGATATTGTTAATAAACAAACCATCCTCTGAGAAACACTGTTTTAAGCTCTTCAGGCTGGCATGCAAGATTCTGGATGATCTGTTCCCGGCTTATTTGCTTATGCATCCTTATTTGAAAATTGCTCTTGCTGAAATTATTTCCTAAGTAATATATAGATAAACTCATCTCTGAGCCACTGTGGTGAAAGTGCTCTATAAATAAAAGATGGTAATATGCCATTTTTCTCCCCTCTCATTTCTTCTACTTTTTACTTTGTCCAAATTCTGATTTCCCTTTAAGATGCAACCCTTCCCTTTTTCATGAGATTTTCCGTGACCATTTTAAGGATTTTGAGATTTTTTTTTCCTCTCTGTGACCCTAAGCACTCATATACAGGCTTTTGACATTTCTTGCATTGTTGAGTCATTATTTGTTGGCAGAGATTTTTGCCTCATATATATTTTTTATCTCCCACAGGACCTGTGTGGAAATAAAAAGGAATGAATATAGCCTCATTAGTCTTGACTCTTTTGAAGAACTGTAGTGAAATATTCACTGAGTGATTAGTGAATATTTTTAGAAATGAAATCAATCTATTCATCCTGTTCACTCTGTCCATGTAGCCTTTATAATTCTGTAGATTTTGTTCATGTAATCTCTTAGCTTTGGTTGTTACAGGTTGAAGAAGTCCTCAGCTTTTTAGTTTATTCTCATGGTATTACTTCACCCTGTGTTTGTTATATGAAGATTATGGTTATCAGCAGCTCTAATCTCATGCACCAGTCCAGCTAAAGATAATTAGTGTTAGTTTTTTTCTGATAAATTTTAGCCTTTTATGGGAAGGATGCCTTACAGGATTAAACAGGTGCCCTTTAGAGTATAGTAATGTCTAGCTAAATTACTAGCTAGTATAGTAATGTCTAGTAAATCCCATATGGTTCCAAGCAACTGATAGATCTAAAGTCTTACCCTAACATCCTGAGTTGTTTCTCCAGTGGCTAGAACTTAAGGCTGACACTGGAGAAAGGGGAAAAAGGGTTTCTGCATCTCCCCAGCCTGGATTTGATGCCAGCCCTGTTGAGTAGGAGTTTTAGAGATGCTTCTCCTTTACTTCTGCCTAAAGCAGCTCCCCTGTGAAAAAGAATGACAGCATGTTCTGGGGGAAAGAAACCTATTGGTGAGGGCAATCTAGTGAACATCTGTCACTCCATTGCTTGTTAGGATTATTTTAGCTGATGTGTCTGACTGGGCAGGTGTCCCCTCTCTCCCTCAGTGCTCCATGTGCATCCCTCTTGAAGCTTCACACTCTGTTGAAGAGGACTCTCATCCCAGGTAGAGGGGGGACGGGAAACTGGGCCAATTGAATGTGTGTCTTTTTCTTTCCATCAGATCAAGGCTGCTTAACTGAAATCCATTGACTTCCGAGGTCCATGGCCTCTGAAATTTCTCACCAAGTTTTGTTTATGCATTTTTGCATTCTTATGGCACAGGGTCCATATCTTTTATCAGATTTTCAAAGGGATCTGTAGATTCAGAAGTTAAGCACTGTGGCACCAGGTGATGCTATTTTCCCTGAATTCTTGTTTATTTCTCAAGCAGGAATGACAGGAAATTCGAAATGCACAGGGAAGGTAGGGGGTTGGGTAAAACCAAGGCAAGCAATTACAAGATCTTTTTCCCATTTACGAGGAATATATTTTAGATATCTTTGGCACATGAAGCAGCCTTCAAAAACTGTGTTGTCTATTTCTCAGAGGATATAGGAAGCTTGAAATAAAGAGGAGAGATGGGATAGGTGAGGTGTAAAATTGGCGCACACAATAGTATTTAGAATGTGCTCTTCAACCGTAGCAAATCATTTCCCTTCTAGGGATCTCAGTTTAGCCATGTAAAATGAAAGGACTGAAATATATTTGATTCCTTTTATCTCTGATTCAGCTTTCTTGAGAGAATTCTCTGTGCAAGAGAAATCTAAAATTCACTTCCATTAAGAACAGAATCCTTTTTTGCCTGTCTCATATTGTGTGTAGTTCTGAAAAAAGGAAGAGAGCTTAGTTACAGATGTGTATATCCTAAGACTGATGAATTTCGGAAGAGCAGGTTTTGTGAATTTTCTTTGGTCTTAACTTTGACCAGAAGATAAAGGGACTCTTAAGTATGCACTGAGTATGTTGAATGATTTGACTCCAACTTTATTTCTTGATAGCAGTATATAGTAATACAGATATATGAACACATTTACTTGTTGGTTAAAGTAATTAAGTTTTATGAATTAAGTATAAATCGATCCATCAGTTTGTACTTTTTTCTTTTATTGAGTTAGCTGTTTAAACCAGCAGTACTTTTTAACCATATTATTCTAGAATGAAGAGTGTAATTTTTAATACTTTAATGTGTTTGCAGTCATTATTTAGAAGCAAGGTCCTTGAATGAGAGAGATTATCGGGACCGGAGATACATTGATGAATACAGAAATGACTACTGCGAAAGATATGTTCCTAGACATTATCACAGAGACGTTGAAAGCAGTTATCAAATCCACTGCAGTAAATCTTCAGTCCGAAGCAGGAGAAGCAGTCCTAAAAGGAAGCGTAATAGACACTGTTCAAGTCATCAGTCACATTCGGTATGATTCATTTTGTTTTTATTTTGGGTGGATACTTGACTTGTGTGTAAAAGCTCTTATTGGGCCAATAAGTTTGGAAAAGTTTATAATACTGTATGAATATAATTGTGTTTAAATTACTTGAATCCTTAAAGGAAGTATCAAAATTCTTAAAACTAATCTGTATTTATTGATAGTTAGCTCTCATTTACCTACATTTACTCATTTTCTGTAGACCAGATCATGAGTTTCTTCATATTAATATTAAAAATATTTTTATGCTTTATAACAATCTTATGAAAAGAAAAGGCACCCATCTTTTCTTTCATCTCAAATTTTTTTTCTAAAAGAAACCTGTTTCCCAATACTTGGAAACAAATGTAGAAAGTTGCACTGGTGGATACTTAATCCTGACTGTAACACAGTCCCCTATCACAGTGCATCATCCTTGCAACTAGTTACGTTGGAGTTCTGAAAGTAGGTGCCGAATGGGAAAGTAATTGTCCAAAAAGCCCGTTCTTTTTTTTAATTCACATATCTTCACTTGTTTGATAAGTAAATTGAGTTAATTATTTTCCTTCCCTAATTTTCTTCAATAGAACTAGCATTGATTAGATTGAACATTAAAATTAGCCTTTATTTTCCCCTTATATTTTAATCATGTATGTTTAAAAATATGCTAAATAATAAATTTGTTGAACTAATATTGACATTTCAAAACATTTTTCTGACAAACTAGACATCCCAACTCACAGCATATGCTGTTTTATAACGAGATTAATAGATCATGACATTTGCATTCTTTAAATTTCAGACTTCAATTAAGTCAGTATTTTAAAGAGACAATTGTGTTGTTTTTTTTCTATTGCCACTTTAAGTATCTTATCTGAAAATCTGTTCCTTGCCATGTTTTTCTTCTGTAACATAAACTGTGCCCTGTGAATTTCTGGGGACTGAATTTGAAATTGCTCCTGCCAACTGTTCGTGGCCTGGTGCTTATCTGAATGCCTGAATATCTCCCCGCTGAATGAATTGCGTATTCTGCCCTGAATTCACTCTGATATATTGATTGGCTGGACGATCTTGGTGCTGCCCACTTGCCGTTCCAGAAGAGCCACCGAAGGAAAAGATCCAGGAGTATAGAGGATGATGAGGAGGGTCACCTGATCTGTCAAAGTGGAGACGTTCTAAGAGCAAGATGTATAGAATATTTTTCAACACTTTTTAAACTTTGCAGACAGAATAATCTTTTTAAGAATAGTTTGTCAGCGGGGGGCTAAAGAACTCTTCATTGCTTTTTTGTTTTGTTTTTCGTGGGTTTGTTTGTTGTTCTTTTGTATTTCTTCTTTTCTATAGAGTTTAAATATTTCTACTCTAAAGTTCCAAAATAATCAGTGGAATTTGAGATTAGAGCAAGAAAGATAGCTCTGTCTGAATTGTTTTTGTAACAGCTGAAAATAAAATAATTTTGAGTGCTGAAACCTTAGTTATGCTTTGATAGAGATCATTTGAAAATATTCCACACTTAAGCATTCATTGTTTGAATAACTGATAATTTGTACTCAGGTACTTACACTTCTTTCTCCCCCCCTCCCTCACTTTAGATGAAATCGTGGACACTTTGGGTGAAGGGGCCTTTGGCAAAGTTGTAGAATGCATTGATCATGGCATGTAAGTTTGTTGTTTTTTCTTTTTGGAATATTCTAATATTTTTGGTGGGGAATGGTCATAATTTGGATGAAATTGAATTTAACTGGTAACTGTGTGTTTCCTGGGACGTGTAAGTATTCAAAATTTCTTTAACTGTGTATGATTTATTTACCATGAATGTGAATTTTGATCAGGAATGTTGAAAATTTTTATCAGATGGAGTCGATTGAAATTAAAGTGTGTTCCAGTGAAGAGTTTCTCAGAACATAGGCCCTTAGCTTTCTAAAAAAGATTTGGAGTGCTTTACCCTACTTCTGAATTGCAGAGTCAATAAACCATGGCTAATCTTGGTTCAAAAACCTTTATTTCCAAAAGATATTTGCACGTTATGGTCAGCTTCTTAAACTATGAAGAAATTACTTAAAGCCTACAGAATAAAGTTCAAGTTGAGTTATACAACCTTTTTGTTACTTGATCCTCTCTGCTTCACTTTTCATGTTTTGCTCTAGAATCTCTATTCTGTGGTTGCAAGTTTTTTTGTAAGTGAAACTCTTAAAACTGTTGAGTGAAAAGTGCACATTTTTAAATTGACATCTAACTTTGTCATCATAAAATAGTTGAGGGTATAATTTCCAGCTTATTGTTAGTGTTGATTTTTTTTTTAGTAAACATGTATCCTTATGTTTAGGGGAATGTAAGTACAATAGCTTCATACTTCCTGTCATCCATGAACAAATTTTTCTTGACTACTTAGAAATGCTTTTTCCTTGAACTTACTTTTACTCCACTTTTCGTAAAGAACATTTTCCTAAATGTCTTGTTTTATTACCCTTTTCTCTCTACCACAAAAATGTGAACATAAAGTAACATTTTAAGATATTTTGAAATACTTTGACTTAGTGGAAGTGTTAGTCACTAAGTTGTGTCCGACTGTTTGTGACCCAATGGAGTGCAACCCACCAGGCTCCTCTGTCCCTGGAATTCTCCAGGTCAGGAATACTGGAGTGGGTAGCCTTTTGCTTCTCCAGAGGATCTTCCCAGGGATCGAACCCAAGTCTCCTGCATTGCAGACCAATTCTTTCCCATCTAAGCCATCAGGGAAACCCCACTTTGACTTATCAAGGTTGCTAAAATAGTCCAAAGAATTCCCATGTATTCTTCACCCAGATTGCACAAATGTTAACATTTTACAGTATTTTTTATTTTCTATATTTTCATAATATATGTATTTTCAAATTTCGTCTACTAATTTGCAGGTTAGACTCAGATTTCACTAGTTGTCCCATTAAAATTTTCTTAAAATACCTTGAGATTCCAAGACTTAAGTATTTGAGACATTCCAATTAATAGTATTCAATTTGATCAAGTACACAAAGATCTGTTACAAATTTTGATACTAGACCTAAAATGGGTTTCACCAGGTGGCTCAGTGGTAAAGAATCTGCCTGCAATACAGGAGACCTGGGTTTGATCCTTGGGAGGGGAAGATCCCCTGGAGGAGGAAATGGCAACCCACTCCAGTATTTTTGCCTGGAAAAATCCCATGGACAGAGGAGCCTGGCAGGCTATAGTCCGTGGGGTTGCAAAGAGTCAGGCATAGCTAAGCACTCACCATGCATGGTTACTATAGTAGCATTAGCTAACACTGTTACCCATCTTTCATTTTTATAACCATTAGCCCTTAGAAAACTTGGCTGTACAATTAAACACATGAGACAAGAAGTTTTGCCATAGCAGTTTTATAGTAATTCTTTTTTTTAATTCATTTATTTTAATTGAAGGATAATTGCATTACAGTGTTGTGTCGGTTTCTTCCATACATCAACATGGATCAGCCATAAGTATACATAATGTCTTCTCCCTCTTGAACTCCCCTCCCCATCCCACCCTTCTAGATTGTTGCAGAGATCCCGCTTTGAGTTCCCTGAGTCACACAGCAAATTCCCACTGGCTCTCTGTTTTACATACGGTAGTGTATATGTTTCCATGCAACATATAGTAATTCTTTTAAGCCTTGAGATATATGCCATGCATCATAGATTTTATGATCATCAAAATAATTTTTGAATGATTTACCAGCCTATAACTTCATTGCGGCCTTCTTAAGCGAATTGGAAAGGTTTGCTATCCAGCCACTAGAAAAATTTGTTGGCCTCAAAGATTTTATTTTTTTTGGACAGCCTAGTGTACATACCTTGCCATATTAATTTTCACATCCATGAGGTTTTCTTTTCTAACATGAAAAGGCTATAGTGAAGAAAACAGGTTTGAATTCTTGCTTGTCTTCAAGAAGCTCAGCTTTAGGAAAGAGGACAAAAGGAAGTTTCAGATTTGGAAACCTTTTTCCTCAAAATCATTCAGAGCTATATCTTTTGGTGAGGTGGGTGGACCTCCTCACACGGCTTGCAAGATCTCAGTTCACCATCAGGGATCATACCTGAATCCACGGCAGTAAAAGCCTGTATCTTAACCACTTGACCACCACTTCCCTCTATACTTTGTAGGAAGTATCCCTTGGTGGCTCAGTTGGTAAAGAATCTGCCTGCAGTGTAGGGGGACTGTTTGCAGTGCAGACCTGGTTCAGTCCCTCAGTCAGGAAGATCCCCTGCAGGAGGGCATGGCAACCCATTCCAGTATTCTTGCCTGGAGAATCCCGTGAACAGAGGAGCTTGATGGACTCCAGTCCATAGGGTCACAAAGATTTGGACACGACTGAAGCAACCTAGCACACGCATGCACATGGAAGCCCCAGTCTAAAGCACACTGCCCTGGATTGTAGCTGTTTCTACCTGTTGGCATCCGTGAATGAACTAAACATGGTTTCGGCTTCATGGCTTAACGATGGTGTTGCCTCTGCTGGGATTTTCTCCCAAATCTATTGGATCAACAGTTGTCTTTCAGGGCTCAGTTGTGTGTCTCCTCTTTTCTGAAGATGTCTCAACCCCCCTAACCCCAGTCACTAGGTTCTTTCTTCTGTCTACTCCATATCAAGCACTTGAAACCTTTATGATAGGTTGTTTGTGTCTGCCTTTTCCATTAAACTGAGAGACAGGACAAGCCCTTTTTAATCACTGATATCTGTGCACCATCTGTCATAGTCAGTCTATCTTAGTGAATGACCAAATGCTTTCAGCAGTAGTATACTCTATTCAAGGTTTATATTTTTATCTTTCTTCTCCAAAAGGGGAAAAAATCTCAGTAAATTTAAACTTTTGGAAACAAAATACTAGCATTCACAGGTATTAAGAGAATCATCACTCCATGTAAACTGAATTTTGTTAAAAATGTTTTGAAAAAATATTAATGTAGAGCTCCTTTAATATGCCCTGTAAGATTATTTTAGGACACATGTCTTCAACCACCTCCTGTACATTTATCATTTTCATTTTATTTTTAAGGGATGGCATACATGTAGCAGTGAAAATTGTAAAAAACGTGGGACGATATCGTGAAGCAGCTCGTTCAGAAATCCAAGTGTTAGAGCATTTAAATAGTACTGATCCCAATAGTGTCTTGTAAGTATAAACTTGGAACTGTGATCATCATGTTACATGAAATAATCAGAGTTTTATGAACTGAATCATTTTTATTTTGATCTCTTTTAGCCGATGTGTCCAGATGCTGGAATGGTTTGATCATCATGGTCATGTTTGTATTGTGTTTGAACTCTTGGGACTTAGTACCTATGATTTCATTAAGGAAAATAGCTTTCTGCCATTTCAAATTGACCACATCAGGCAAATGGCATATCAGATCTGCCAGTCAATAAATTGTAAGTACACTTTGTTAAATTTTTAAATACCAATAAAAGTTTTTATTATATAAGTAACATCAAAGCATTGTCACTAAAACTGCACATATTACAAGTAAAGATGAAACTGCTTTTGATTCCTACGTCTATCACCAATCCTCCCTTCCCCAGTATAGATTAAATTTGTCAGTGAAACTTAATAATGTCTTTTTGTTCTTTTGTAGTTTTGCATCATAATAAATTAACCCATACAGATCTGAAGCCTGAAAATATTTTATTTGTGAAGTCTGACTATGTAGTCAAATATAATTCTAAAATGGTAAGTTAAAGACTTGTTTTAATTTTGATAGTTATCTTTAAAATTAATTTAGCTTGATATGATGCTTGGATGAGAAATTTTACCTCTAAGACTTATTATATCCTGGTGTTTAACCCAAAAAGGGTAGTCCTTTGCCTTTCTCGTGGGGTTATATTGAAAATCAAAAAGGCAGTTTATTGGCAAGCCTTTTGGAATAGTGCTGTAAAGTATTTTATATATTGATCTTTGTGTTTACTCAACTGTTTTCTAGAAACGTGATGAACGCACACTGAAAAATACAGATATCAAAGTTGTTGACTTTGGAAGTGCAACATACGATGATGAACATCATAGTACTTTGGTATCTACACGGCATTACAGAGCTCCAGAGGTCATTTTGGGTCAGTAGACACCAGACTTCCTTATACTTGAATTGAAAAAGATATTTTTGTTCTCTGTAGCTTCTATTGTGGGGGGCCAGGTAGTGGGTGGATAGCTGTGATTTTCTTAGCAGTGTACAGAAAATGTTTTCTGTTTCCATAAAAGCTGTCTGGTCATTGCTATAATTATTTTTCCTGAGTGGGAATAATATGATACCATCTGTAAAGGTATTCCAAGTGGTCGTTATTTTTGAACAAGTCAGTCTTACGTGATCATAAGAGAACAAGTTCTGTTGGCTTAATTACATCGTAGTGTCTTTTTTGAACTGATGTGAACATCTATTTTTGTCTCATCACTAAAGCTTGGTGCTGATGAAAATGCTGAAGATCTAGTGGGCAGACATTTGTATGCAGGGTGGATGATAAGAGGGAGCTTAGGGAAAGAGCATCTTGTGCCTCAAAATTTAGAAGTTAGTCACCAGGTCATGTTGATAGAGCAGGGAAGTCAAAGACAGCTTTGAGGGGCTTGGAGACAGTGGGAAAATTCAGATCGGGTGATACTGGGAGACATAATAGTTAAATGGAATAACCATAATACTTGGCTGAATGTAAGTTTCAACTGAGGTTGGATAGTAAAAACATTTTCATGGAATCAGTCTTTTCCACTTTTTACGTTTTTGTCCAAGAAGACTGGTAGTTCAGAATAGGAGTATAAAATCAAACTAATGATAAGAGTAGAGGATTGGTAAAAGGGTAAGGAAATTAAGAATATTCTATAGTACTAGCCAGTAGAACTTTCCATGATGATAGAAGTGTTATATCCACACTGTCCAATATGGTAGCCATTAGTAGCTATAAGTAGACTACTGTGTACTTGGAGTGTGACCAATTAATTTAAATTTTAGATTTAAATAGCCACATGTAGTTAGTGGCTACTACATAGGACAGTGCAGGTTTAGAGCTTGTCTTCAAATTGAGGTTGATGTTACTAGGATTTCTGCTTAGTGTGGTCTGAAAGAATCTGCTTCTGTTGCAGTAGTTTAGAAAGTATGTTTATGGTTGAGGACTGAAGGCTGCAATGAAGGTAAGAGAAAAGAGTGTGGAAAGAAATGTGGATGGAGAGGTATTTTGAGAGCTTAAAAAGAGTAAACTTGCTGGAACTTCCCCAGCAGTCCAGTGGTTAAGATTCTGCTCTTCTACCGCAATGGGTATAGGAAACTAAGATCTTGCGTGCTGTGCAGTGCAGCCAAAAAAATTAAAAGAGATAGCTTGCTGTGTTTCATCAATTTTAAGAAGCAGATTTTCTCCCACATTTTAACATGTGGGAGAACATAAAACAATGGCATTTTTTTTCTTTGTTATTGGTATGTAAAACGGCAGTGTATATTACACTCAGTTAATGGTCTTTTCCTAGGTTGAGTAAGATATAGTGATTCTTGGTATTAATACAGTCCCATGGGTGGCCAGGCTGGAAATAGTTGATATAAATCCAAAACTGGGGTTCTTGGTCTTTAGGAGAAGAAATGAAGAGATGGGAAGATTAGAAGCATTCATTATGTGTTTGTGTGAAGTGTTACTCCTGAAGATAAAGGCAGAATTAGGTTGAAGAGGAAGATATAAGAGGAAGACAGTTGATATTACGTCTTGGGTGTTGGTAATAAACAGAAGTTGGGAAATTCCGGTAAAACTGAATTATCTGAAATTCCAAAGAGTGTTAGAGCTAACCCATAACAGAATGAGATGATGTACAGTGGTATGCTACAGAAGGTTACAGTCATTTGCAAGAAAGCTGGACTGGGAGAAAGGAGTGGTTGGAAAAGAAAACTTTCATCTTAGGTTGAAGCTCTTAATCATTTGCAAATTTTTTATGTGTTACTGTAAGTAGAAACAGGCTCCATCTTCCATTTGTTCAAATGATACGCCCTGTGAGGGTTAACAAAAATGACTAAATCATAAGTTCCTTGCATATATCGTTTCTTCCTTTGTCTTTAAATTCAGTGATATTACTGGAAGAAATTGAAATGTCTTTTAAAGTAGGTTTTCTTTGTACATTATTGTTGTATTAAATACTTAAACTTTGAAAGATGAAAACATCTGTGTGGTTTCCTCTTTTCTAATTAAATATAGACTTAAGACTAGGTGTCTTTTTCTTTTTTGAATATTGCTATTGAGAGTTCTGAAGGAGAAAGTATAATATAGATCATGTATAAACAGTCTGAAAGTACATATATAGATAGCTCTGTGTGAACTTTTAAATGTGTAATTCTGCTTATAGGTGCTTAGAATATCTGTAGTATCTATTATATCTGTATCTATTATAATATCTTACAATTCCTACATAATTTATATGGTACAATATTTCTTTTAATGGAAACAAGAAACTCAGATATCAAGCTGACAATTGATAGGGGGTTAGTAATTATATTCTGAGGATAATTGTTGATCTATATTTGCATTAATAAAATGTAAAATTTCATAGAACAGCCATGAACTGGATATAATAGACTTCCTCTTTACACAAGCAATTAAAGCACAAGCAATTAAAAAGACTATGAAACATTTGCTAGTCCCTCTTGTTTTACATAGAAAGCCTCTTCCCCTAGGTTAAAATACTATAATTTGATATGAGGATATGGAGGACTCAAAGGATACTGAATAATGTTTGATATAAAACTAAAAACATAAGCTGTGGATTTACTATCATTCTTCTAAATAGGCTATATAAGGAGAGCACCCACATAGGAAAGGATTTAGTTTATTGACAGTTAAATTGTTGCGTAATAAAATGTTTGGTTTTGTTTTTAAATAGCTTTAGGTTGGTCTCAGCCTTGTGATGTTTGGAGCATAGGTTGCATTCTTATTGAATATTACCTTGGTTTCACAGTCTTTCAGGTATGTATTTACTAAATGTTATTTACTAATTCTTTGCTTTATGTATATATGTATGTATTTTTGGCTGCACTGGGTCTTCATTGCTATGCACAGGCTTTCTCTAGTTACGGTGAGCAGGGGTTCCTCTAGTTGCACTGCACTATAATGAGCTTTAAATGTTACAGGCCTGTTGAAGTTTTGGTTTCTCTTTTGAAAAGTTGCCATTGTGTGTCATTATTTTTAAGATTAAAATTTGCATATGCAAAATAGTCATCCTCTGAAACCATAATGGAATGAAATACTACTCTCAGTGAATGGTCATAATTCATTCTGCATGTGATTGAAGATTTTAAACATATGGTTTGTATTGAATATGAAAAACATGGTTCATGTGAATGTGATCCATTTTTGTGTGTGTGTGACATGCTTTCATGAATTTATATTAGTGTAACTGTGGTCAGTTTTCATTCAGTTCTGGTTATGTTGCACTTGTTTTTTAAAGGAATTTGGATACAGTATGTTGTATTAAGCATCTGTGACACTTTAGGCACATTTCTAAGCACTACGTGTACAAAAAGGAAGACAGTATTGCTGTCCTCAAGGAAGGCATACACAAGATAATGCAAGAACTGTTAAGAGTATAATGTGATATTTGTTAAAATGGAACAGTGTAAAAAGTGTGGTGGAAACCCAGAAACAGTGAACAGTTAAGTTTCCTTAGAGAAGGCATCACTGAGGAGTAGAGAGTTTAATCCATGCCATGAGGAGGAGTAGAAGTTTGTCATAAAGTTAGACTGTGTGTGTGATGGGCATATCAGGAAGAAGAAATTGTGTTCATAAATGCAGCAGGCATACAGGAAGCTACTCTAGTTGAAGAAGAATGAATAATGCTATCCAGGTGTTTTGGATAAGTAGAAAAATAGTGTCAGTAGGCAAGTACTGACACTTGTAGTGTACTTGTTTGCCATAGAAAGGTATTTGTTTTATCCTACAAGTCGGTTCAGTCCCTCAGTCATGTCCGACTCTGCAACCCCATGGACTGCAGCATGCCAGGCTTCCCTGCCCTCCTGAAGCTTATTCAAATGCATGTGTATTGAGTCGGTGATAGAATTCAACCATCTCATCCTCTGTTGTCCCCTTCTGCCTCCAGTCTTTCCCAGTATCAGGATCTTTTCCAGGGAGTCAATTCTTCGCTGATCCTACAAGTCAGTGGTTTCCAGATACAGACTGGTCTAAAATGAAAATGATTTTGTAGAGTTGCCATTCTGGCTTTCAAGTAGAAATTATCCCTCCTTGTTTTTTGTTGTTTGGTTTTTTGTGGTGTTTTTGGAATTAAAATGTCCCTTTTATGAGATGATAATAGTTATTTATTTTTTAAAAAATAACAGTCCTCACTTGGCAAAGTAAAAGGGTGAAAATGTTATTTAGGTCTCCACATTTTTTCCTCATAATTTTACTTAATGTCTGAAAGCTCAAACTCTTGAAAGCTTCAAGTGGTTAACCATTGAAGAACTTGAAATAGGGTTGTAATATGATCAAAGTATGTTCTGGGCAGGGTGAAGGCTGTTAGGGAGTTCCTGGCTAATTCTGTCAAGGTTGATTTGAGGTTATGACAGTGCAGGATGAGGAGGAAGCTGTGATGAATTAAGTCATTTAGGTGGCTGTTGCAGAATACATGTGTTTACTACTGTGGGGCACCTCATGCTCTTGTCTGATCTGTAGCGATCTTGTTAAAAGTACTCTAGATAAGTTTGATATCTAGAAAGTAGCTATTGCATCATTCCTAGGAGGTGGTATCTGATTTTGTGGTAGTAAGCTGTAGGGTCAAGGAAGAAGTTGAGCACAGTGCATGCTTTCTTCATTCTGACACAAAAATTTTTTCAAATGGTTTTATAATTATAAATCACTGGGATCTTAAGCATGGATTATTAACTTTGGTTTGAGATTCGGTTTATATTTGGATATCACCCTCCAAAATGTCTTCAACTAAGGTGCTTTGTGAAGATACGGAGCTTGTATATTCCTGTCATGAATTAAGGATATCATTTTGAAAGTAGTTAATGGGTTTAAAAAGCAGACTCCAGAGCAGAGGTTGGCAAACTGTATCCTGCCTGATGCCTATTTTAAACAATGAAAAAGAATATGTGATAAAGACCATCTTGTGACCATCCAAGCCTAAAATATTTGCTTTCTGGTCCTTTATAGAAAAATTGCCAGCCTCTGCTCAAGGAGTGTATGATTTCAGCTGTCAGTTTAACGGTTTATTCTACTTTAGCCAAAACTCTTACTATGTAATTTAAAAATAAAACATTTTCACTTGGGTTAATAGCTCGTGTTTCCTCATTTATGAACTATATAATATTGAGCTAGTATCTTAACCTCTCTGAAAGTCATGTTCCAACATACTTAGCTCTGGGTTGTAAGAGTTACTGGGATGGTATTTTTATTATCTAGGATTAGGAAGTGTTACAAGGTCGCTATCCACTCAATCAGTGGAGGTTAGTTAAGCAACTGATAAAATGGGACAGAGTTTTGGTAATCTTCCCCACGCATCTTAAACACTGCAATAAATATAAGTAAGGGAAAACTGTTCAGTTTTACATTAAACACATTATTCAAACTTTGTAAGTCAACTCTACGTCAATAAAATACATTTTAAAAACCTGTTCAACATCTGTTATACAGCCCTTACTGATCCAATTCAGAAAGACTTCAATTTTACTGGGCTTGCATTAAATAATACAGCTCATTCAGTTACAGTCCTCTGAAGTGGAGTGTAATATAAATTGTATAATTGTCTAACCTGGCCCTTTTATGGAAGCACTGGTTTGTCTCCCTTTATTGCATGTAGAGAAATGGAAAGTGCTAAGTTTCTTTTTCCTACTTTTTTTAGACTCATGATAGTAAAGAGCACCTAGCAATGATGGAACGAATATTAGGACCAATACCAACACACATGATTCAGAAAACAAGGTATGTTTTTTAAGATTAAAGCCCTTGCGTACGTACAATGGCCTGTATTCAAACTACAGAAAATCCATCTTTGTTTGTTATTGCTTATTCCAAAAATTTGTAGATTGTGGGTTTTTTTCATGAAGTCAAGTTTTTTGAAAAGTAATGCAGTATTTACTTTGTGATCTAGTTAATAAAATGGTGTTTTTATACTCAGGCTAACCTTTGCATAAATGTTTTCCTAGGTCAATACAAAAATAATACATAGAGTAGTAAAAAGACCTTGATTTTAGAGTCATGTCAGTCTTAAGTTTGAATTCCACACTTTTGCTAACTAGCTGTATGTCTTTGAACAACATACTATATAAGAGGTTTCAAACATAGCTTTACCACAAGTCACCCATGGAATTGTTAAAGATTTGCAGCCTCATTCCAGATCTAATAACATCAGAATTTACACAAATGGTTATAGGAACCTGTTTTTAAAGCTGGCATTGTTATATGTGTGGTTATTTGGGGACAACTTAGGTGGGATACTAAACCCTAATAAGGGTACAAGATTAAGAAAGATACCATTCAAGATATCTGATAAATAATTTTTGTTGAGATTTTTAGAAATTGTGTGCTTAAGTATATAGAGAGAGCCGCTTATGGTTCAAGTTTCTGTCTATTACCCTTGTTCTCTGGTGAGGGCAGGGTAAGCATGTGAATCTTTTAACTAACCGTGACTTCTCTTTCCTGTAGAAAACGCAAGTATTTTCATCATAATCAGCTAGATTGGGATGAACATAGTTCTGCTGGTAGATATGTTAGGAGACGCTGTAAACCATTGAAGGTGAGAAAAAAAAGAATTAAGTTTTGTTTTGTTTTTTAACTTTTAACTATTTTTTAATGTCCTCCTTTAACATCATTTTTCTCCTCAGGAATTTATGCTTTGTCATGATGAAGAACATGAGAAACTGTTTGACCTAGTTCGAAGAATGTTAGAATATGATCCAGTGAAAAGAATTACTTTGGATGAAGCATTGCAGCATCCTTTCTTTGACTTATTAAAAAAGAAATGAAATGGAAATCAGTGGTCTTACTATACTTCTCTAGAAGAGATTACTTAAGACTGTGTCAGTCAACTCAACATTCTAATATTTTTGTAAACATTAAATTATTTTGTACATTTAAGTGTAAATACTGTATGTTTTGTATCAATAGCATAATTACCTTATTAAGCAAACATGGTCTTGATAATGAAATACAAAAGCTAAAATTAATTTTCCTTTTTTGAGATTAATTACCATTTTTAAAAACCTTTGGAATACCCTTTGTGTCCAGTGATAATTGTGATTGATCTTGTGTTTTGTACATGAAAGTTGACTCTTTGAAGTGATTTTTTTTTTCCTGAGTAAAAGGAACTCTTGACTACTTCATTCTTAAATGACTATACCTCACACTTCTAATTTTTTTTTCTGTAGTTATTGAACAGGTAATAAGTATTATTAACTCTAGGTAGGCAGGTATTAGAAACCAGATCCCATAGGAAATGTTTGCTGTTGAAATTTCATTAAATTTTAAGTACTGTGTTCTGTTTCCTTGGGTGATGTCAGTGGTGGTAAGTAGCATGGAAAGATACCAACTTGTGCATCGTGATAGGTTAAGGAAACCACAACACACTTCATTTAAGATTAAGTGGGAAGTTAGCCATTTTCCAATGGCTATTTATATCACAAACATAGAAATAGAAGTTCTGATTACTGAGGTTTTCAATGCCAAATCTTCAGGTGTTGAAATTGTCTACTATCTATTTCCTTATCATATGAAGTATAAACACTTAAACCTCAGCCTGTGAGACTTTATTATTAAGCAGCTTATATTTATGTTAATCTTCATTGGAAAAAAAATAGATGATTTGAATGGAAAACACTTGGATAAGAAAACTGCAGTTTTCAGACCCTCATTGGCTAACATGACCTTTTTGTTTGCCTGGAAGTATTTTTCCTTATTATTACCTATTTCATACCAAAAACTATATGGTAAATGTTTTTTTTAAAAAAAAAAAGCTGTTGATCATTCTGCAAGGTAAAAATATTTTTTGTTGTAGAATTCATGATCGATTATCTGGATACAGGTTTTTTGTTAAAGGTATCCCCATTTCTGAAGTGCATTACCAAAGATTTGAGTTTTACCGCTTTTGAACATCAAGTGCATGTAAGTTTTAGTTTGACAAATAGTGAAACCAAGGTGGGTTTCTGTATGGAATCCACTGGCAGCATTTGCACATACAGTAGAGATAAGTTCCTGAGGTTGGCTAGAAATTTTAAAGCGCTGAAATAAATTTTGGCAAAGCATCACTGCATAAGTTATGTTAAGACCTCTGATGCAGTCCACATGTAATTGAACTATGTTATATGTAATAAGGTTTCTATAAGGCGCATTTGATAAAAAGGTTTTTCCTGAACACAGTTATAGAGATTAAAGAGTCAGCCATCCTTTATTTTCCTCTCCATTTCCATATTGCTTATGCCAGTGAACTACCTCAGCATCCAACCTTTCCCTACAAGTACTTCAAAGTTCCCAAATTAATATTTACATTCTCCCCTATCGGAAACTCAAATTTATTAGCTGATACCAGGATATAGGAGGGAAGGGAAAAAATCACATTATTTCTTACTAATAAGTTAATGATTGCTAATTCCTTTCCTTTCTGAAAAATGTTTGCATTCTTTACTAAAGGGTACTTGCTAGTGTCTAGGCCTAATTCATGGAAGTTTAGGAATTAAACTTCCGTGAATTAGGTAGAAAAAGTTAAGTGGTGTGAGGATGGTACTCTTATTACATGAGTGTCTACTAATTTTTCCTGTCTTCTGGAAACTTTCCTTTTTTTTTTTTTTTCGGCTTTGCTGAGTCTTTTTTGTGGTGGGTACCAGTACCAATACCTGTGGGGTGTTGCTGCCGAGGTAGCTCAGTGGTAAAGAATCCATCTACCAATGCAGGAGACGCAAGTTCAGTCCCTGGGTCAGAAAGGTCCACTGGAAGAGGAAACAGCAACCCACTCCAGTATTCTTGCCAGGAAAATCCTATGGATAGAGGAGCCTGGTGGACTACAGTCCATGGGGTCACCAGAGTCAGACATGACTTGGTGACTGAGCACACACATGTGGGATCTTACTAGGTTGGTGCAAACTTAGTTTCAGACCATGAATTGTAAATCTTTTTAACTAGGTTCAAACGCATCGTTATTAATCAAAATAGAAACCATTATTATCATTATTATCATCATGTTTTTACCAATGAGAAATAGTTTATTCCTATAAAGTAAAGATCCATGCTTTGGGATTCAGTAAATTCTTGGAATGCATTTTCCCTGCAAAAAGCTGTTGAGATGCTTAAGTCATTTGGCAAGAGGTCAGGTGAATGTGGTGGGTGAGGCAAACTTGGTGACCCAGTTTAACTTTTTGAAAGTATTGGTTATGTGATGTGCAGTCGGGTGTTGTCATGGAGAAGAACTGGACCTGTTGACCAGTACCTGCTGCAGGCATTGCAGTTTTCAGTGCCTCTCAATTTGCTTAGCACGCTTCTCAGGTATAATGGTTTCACCGGGATTCAGAAAGCTGTAGTGGGTCAAATGGACAACAGAGCACCAAACAGTGACCATGACCATTTTTTGGTGCAAGTTTGGCTTTGGGAAGTGCTTTGGAGCTTCTCGGTCCCCACTACTGAGCTGGTCATCGCTGGTTGTTGGGTGTATAAAATCCACTTTTCATTGCACATAACGATACAAATGAGAAATGGTCCTTTGTTGCATACGATAAGAATTTTTTTTTACTTTCTGGTCAGCTAGAGAGGCACCCACTTAACAGTTTTTTCACTTTTCCAATTTGTTTCAGATTCTGATCAACTACAGAATGGTTGACTGAGTTCTTTGACAGCTGCTCATGTAGTTGAGAATCAGCTTTGAGCATCAGCTTTGCTGATGGCTGCCAGTTGGTCATTGTCAGCTTGCAATGGCTGGCCACTGCACTCATCTTCAAGGTTCTTGTCTTTGCAAATGATGTTGCAAGTTGTCTCTGCTGTTTTATGACCCATTTTGAACTCGAATAAGAGAATTACTCAATTTTCCTTTTTGTCTTAACATCTCCCTAGTCTAAAGTAAATACAAACAGCAAGTATTGTCATTAGAAAAACATAAGGCGAGGAATGCACATTAAAATGATGTATAGCATAACCCTATTTAAGAATGTATTTCAGTATCAAAGCAAAGATCAACAATGCAAAACCACAATTAACTTTTGCACCAACCCAGCAGTTCCCTGGCCAGAGATCCCGCGTTCCCAGTATTAGAAGGTGGATTACCAAGTTCCTATTCTTAATTGCCTTTTTCCTTGTACTTCTGAACTCATTTTCTGAAAGCACCAGGAAAGTGTTGGGAGTGTTGGGAGCATCAGGACTAATGGGAGAGGTTTAGAGAATGGCCAGTGTATAAATATGCATCTTTTGTAAAAGCATTTTCCCTAATGATTTGATGTCTCATATTTTAGTATTTCTAGAAATCTCATTGACATCAAACTTGGCTTTAAAAGTGCAGTGAAATATTTTATTTCCAGTGTTAAATGTGCTACTGCTTATTTTCTGAGGTCTTGCCCACAGTTAGATACTGTGGTCACCTGAATTAAATTCACCCATTCCTATCCATTTTAGTTCTCTGACTTCTAAAACGTCAATGCTCAGTCTTGCCATCTGCTTGACCACATCCAGTTTACCTTGATTGATGAACCTAACATTTCAGGTTCCTAAGCAATATTGTTCCTTATTTCATTGGACTTTACCTTCACGACCAGACATCCACAACTGGGCATCCCTGCTTTGACTCATCCTCTTCATTCTGGAGATCCTAGTAACTGCCCTCCACTCTTCCCCAGTAGTATATTGGACACCTACTGACCGGGGGTGCTCATCTTTCAGTGTTGTATCTTTTTGCCTTCTCATACTGTTCATGGGGTTCTCAAAGCAAGAATACTGAAGTGGTTTGCCATTCCCTTCTCCAGTGGACCACATTTTGTCAGGCCCTGACTAGCAGGGACATGTCCTTCAGCTGCTCCACATAGCTGGATGACATGTCTGGCGTCCTGGTGGTCCCACTGTTGGTCCTTGTTGAGTGTGTAAACCTTCACCAGCTGTTGGATGTTGATCACTGTGCTGCACGGGCTGAGGCAGAGGCCCTGCTGGAGTCACAGGGAAGGGGGTCCAGGGAAGTCTCGAGCTGGTGTTGGAGGATGCCCAGGAGTGGACGGTCCCTGCCATCACTGCTGCCGTTGGCCACCCTGGGGCCGATATGCTGCCCGGGACAGAAGGCGCCCTGGCCTCTCCACTGCCCATACTCTGCATTTAAGTTAAATAGAGACACAATATACAGCTTTGACATTCTCCTTTCCTAATTTTGAAACAGTCTGTTGTTCCATGTTCAGTTCTAACTGTTGCTTCTTGGTGTGCATATAAGCTCAGATGATAGGTAAAGTGGTCTTGTATTCACATGCCTTTGAAAAGTTTCCTCAGTTTTTTGTGATCCACACAGTGCAAGGCTTTAGCGTAGTCAATGAAGCAGATGTAGATGTTTTTCTGGAATTCCCTTGCCTTTTCTATGATACATGTGTTGGCAGTTTGACCCCTGGTTCCTCTGCCTTTTCTAAACCCAGTTTGTACATCTGGAAGTTCTCGGTTCACATACTGCTAAAGTCTAGCCTGAAGGATTTTGAGCATTACTTTGTGAAGTGAACACAACAGTACGATAGTTTGAAGATTCTTTGGCATTGCCCTTCTTTGGGATTGGAATGAAAACAGCTTTTCAAGTCCTGTGGTCATTGCTGAGTTTTCCCGATTTGCTGGCATATTGATTGCAGCACTTTAACAGCATCATCTTTTAGGATTTTAAATAGCTTAGCTGGAATTCTATCACCTCCACTAGCTTTGTTCTAAGTGATGATTCCTGTGGCCCACTTGTTTTCTCACTCCAGAATGTCTGGCTCTAGGTGAGTGATAACACCATCCTGGTTATCTGGGTTATTAAGACCTTTTT